CGAGTACAACTCGATTTTCCGAAGATCTTCTTTCTTTTCATCATATCATCTCCGAATTCAAATTAGTTCACTTATCCAACAATCTTAGTGTTTGCAGTTACAGCAGATCCCCCATCCTTGCCCGCAACAAATTAGGTAGAGAGAGAGTTTGGCAGAAGGAGAATCTCGGTTAGAAGCAAGATCAATTTCGGTTGGGGATGCCCTAAACCTCACATGCTCTGGCGATAGGCCAAAAGCAAAAAATACGGTGGGTAAGTACAAATCACAGCTGTAAAAAGGGGCAAAAACAACGGTCCTGGGCAAGGGCAGCTTCTTCCTCTACCAATTATTCAGCCGCTCAACAAATTTGTCGATCGTGGCGTCGTCCTGAAAAAAGAAAGAAACGAAAAGAACGATAAGCACACCCATACAGACTCATCAACACGTGCGTAATTTATCAGACCTTAAAAAATAATGGGACTGGAGGAGGAAATACATTTACCTTAATTATACAGAATCGGAGGTAGTTCTCGAAGAGGTGTTGGTGCTTTGTGCAACAGAAGACAGTAGGCGGAACCGCAGCAACGCCTTTATTGACTATCATCCAGTCGTTGAAGGCGACGTCCTTCGTACTCTTTTCCCCGGATCCCGTCGAGTTCGCCGGCAGGGCTGGAAGGACAGGAGGGGGAACGGAAACGTGGTGCGTTCAAATTTTGGGTAACGAGGGAGACGTAGGCACAGGCAGGGCCGGTAGAAGTAACTAAATTTATTTCAGTAGACGTAGTTTTTATTTGCTCACATAGGTTTCGCCTTGACTCTCAGTGCAATAGCGCTTGGCTTGATTCGGTTTTTATCTTCAAAAGATACTCAGAAATGTTGGCCTATTGATTTACTACCGAAGACACAGGCGCAAGCAGGACCAATTCAAAGTTAACCTTCGGTCAAAAAAGCGAGTCGACTGGATTCGGAATCTCTTACAGTGGGTTGGGCGGGGCTAACTCAACAACTGAGGGCTCTCGTTCGGCACCTCATAGCTCAGACGGTTAAAACATTGGCTATGCTCAAGCCGGGTTTCAATCCCAATGAGGTGGCTGAGGTTTCCAGTATTTAGTCGAATAAATTATCCGAATATGCCAAAAATTACCTTAGTGCGCCTGGTAGA